GGGGGTGTATATATATATATATATATATATATATATATATTGGACATGTTAACCTCTCTCACCCCCTCATTTGTTTCTCCACTAGAAGTAAGTAATGTATGCAAAATTCCATCCAGATAATTTGTCATTTAGGGTGTGTTCAAAGAATGTATCTTTTCAAAGTTTTTGTTAACTGATAATATGTTGAATGTTTCTGAAGTCAGAGATGAGGGGCAGTTGTGGCCTAATGGTTAGAGTCAGACTTGTAAACAGAAGGCCACGGGTTAGAGTCTCGGTACCAGAAGGGATTGCATGTGGGGGGAGTGAATGACCAGCGCTCTCTTCTCTTCCACCCTCAATACCACGACTGAGGTGAGACCCTTGAGCTAGACACGGTCCCCCAACTGCTCCAGATGGTGCGTGTGTTCACGGTTTGTGGGGATGGGTTGAATGCAGAGCACAAATTCTGTGTATGGGTCACCATACTTGGCAACATGTCACGACAATGGCAGAACATACGAGTGTTCATTCCTAGGTCTGCGAGCTGGGACTCGAACTCGGGACACCTGAAGCGCAATGTCCACAAAGCTATCGGCGAAAGTGTAATTTAACATTTTAAGACTAATAACTGTTCTGTGTTCTCGTTTTTGACATAATATACAGTTTACTAATGGTTTTGTATAATTGTTTGGGCTGTCAGTTTATCGCATTAACTTCATTAGTTAGTTATATAAAAGATAACGCAATTAAAATATTTTAACGCAGTTAATGCACTGGCCCCGCCCCAGACCTATACGTCATCTTACACTTCATACAGTTGACTTTTGACAAATATGATGCAGGGCAACACCTCCATAAATGCAGTTATGCCCTAAAATTCAAGATATTGGTGCAAAAATTTGTTTTTGTCTCATATTTATATCATACGATAAGCGATATCACACGAGCACCGAGAGCAATATCACATGCGTGCTGTTTGTCCCGAATATCACGAGTTTAAATGTGATTTTATACAACAGTTCAGTAAATAAGAATTTGATATTGTGTTATATTTTAAACACAATATTATGTGTTTTTGCTCAATTTTGCAAAGAATATATTCCCTTTAAAGCCATAGCAGAATTGTTGTGCGTCTCTGAGCAACACAGCAGTGTTTAGTTTCTGAATCAATCTGCATTTTGAATGAATTAAGAATACATTATATTATATATTATATATATTAAGAATTTCAACTTTGTTCAGCACACCCTAAATGTAGTCCAATCTCTGCGAAATTTGGTTTGTTTCCATTTCTCATTAACTGGGAGGGTGAGAGCAGAAGATTTCAAAAGTCCAAAAATAAGGGCCACCCTATTGAACACATATGATAAGTGGTAAAGATACCTTAAAAACAGCTCGGTCCCTCATCAGACGATCAGTCACGGTTTTCCTTGGAAGCTCTCTTGTGGTCTGAAGTTCTTCATTCCAGTCCCGGGCCTTTGTTCAACACAGAGGAATTGATTAAAATCGATTCATGTAACTGGCTTGTGTGCTGACTTTCAACATGTTTACCAGAGCAGGCACGTGTTCTTCATAACCCAGGCTGAAGGAGCTGACATCCTCTGCTCGAAGACAGTCCATTGTATGGTCAAGTGCTGGAGCAGTCCAGCTGAACAACTGGAAAGGTGTAGCAATCCTTTCAAAGGGGTGTGTGGACCCTCTAAAATAAGAGAGAAGTTAGAGTTCAATCATTTTTAAAGTAAATTTTGTACAACTATAATTTTATTTAGACCAGTACATATTTTGCAGGTCAACAAGACTTAAACATATAAATAAATTCATTTAAATACATTTCCTCAATAAATAAACAGTTCTAATTTTTAGGATCATTATGATTTTTTTGCACATTTTCCTCTAAAGGCTCAGTACTGTTATCAAAAAATAAATTTGTTTATTCTTATTTACTACGATTATCATTAGATTTTAATAATCTCATTGCTGTGATAAAGTTGAACTGATTTTCAGCTAAAAAAAAAATATATATATATATTTTTTGTATTACATATTATATTTTTGATATTTTAACTTATGTATTTAAACAGGGCAACAAATATCAAAAATATTTTACAATGTAAAGTACTATAATGCATAAATACCACTGTAGAATGTTTTAGCTAGAAATTGTGGCTTTTAATTGAGTAAAATTTAGGTGCAGTACCCATGCTTTAGCTCAGTTTTTTGGTACTCTTTTACTCCTTGTGAGAACTGGCATACCTCCTTTTCAGCAAGGCACTGAAGTTCTTCTTAAAAACTGGACTGATATGACCCAGGAGATCTAGCAGAGAGTACTTAAATGTATAATTACATTGTAACAAGGACACCTTAACAAAATGAAAAGTGAAAAATAAAGTGTAACCAAAAGTCTTTTAAAATGTATTAAGAGTGCAATGTAAATGCTGATTATTAGTTGTTTTAGACCCTTTTTACTAGTTAGTACTGAGATCATCAAAGACAACAGCTTATTCTGTTGCATTTCTAACATAAAGATCAACTGACAACAACAGCGAAGCAGTTGAGCAAAAAAACAAGAAGGATTTAGATTCAGTCGTTTGTTTTACCTGAAGTGTCCTCTTTGGTCAGATGTAAAATAAAGAGAAATGTCCAGGTTAGAATAAGGTTTCTCATTGCTGTAACTAAACCAGTCCAGTGTTCATATGACTGACTAGACTGTCTCTCTCTTTCCACTTGATCCCAAAAGCTTCCTTCTTGTGTGTGTGTGTGTGTGTATGTGTGTGTGTGCGTGTGTGCATTAGTGTGTGTTTTAGAGAGAGAGAGAGAGAGAGAGAGAGGAGAAAGACTTAACTGAAGTTCAAAAGTCTCGCACTTGAGCATTGTTTAAGAATGTAAAAAGAGAAGCATCTCTACAGATGATGCATCAATGTCAGCTACACAATAGTGTGTTAACATGAGTTCAGTTCAGAGATCTTATCATCTAGTAGAAGTACTTAACAACAACCTCTGTGTGTGTGTGAGTGAGAGAGAGTGTGTGTGTGTGCAAACGT